AAGCCAAGACGTACGAGAAACGAGTGGAAGAAATTCTGATCGAGAACCAGTTCCCCACCAATGCAAATTTCAAGTTGTCCATGACGCAGTCTCAGTCAGGGACGGAACCGACTGGAGTGGCTAATTCAGGGTCCTCAACGGGTGTATTGCCGTCTTCAAGAGGTAATCGACGTCGTTCGGTACAGCCAGGAAATCAAGGTGGGAATAGTTTGTCAAACTTTGGTGAAGCCTCTGGATTTGGACGTAGAAAATCGATTATCGCTGGTAAAAACCGTGCGGAAGACGGTGATATTTCGTGGTGTATTGCTGCTCAACAGCCCTTTTATCTGCCTGAATTCGGTACATCAGGTAGTAGCAACAATGAGGATGGTATTGAAGGTGGATTAAGTGTACCAGCTTCTGGACTTAATGGGGCTTCGATATCTATCCGAAAGAACGGCTCGGCTAAGGTGAAACTTGAATTTTTACCACTAGTTCCTGGGAACTATCGCTGTCAGTTGCTCTTCTTGGACGAGAATATTGGAGAATTTCTCTATGAGATTCACGCGGTTGCAAATCTCCCGGCCAGTCTTGAAACGCTGGAAATCCAATGTGAAGCTTCCACAGCAGCAAGTGCCACAGGACCTGGCGCAGGTCGATTCCGGTTTGTTCGAGAACTGACGATCCCAGTCAAGAATCCGCTACTAAATCGCGCACTTACAACGTTCGTCGAGCGAGTCAGTGGCCATCTACGCAATAAACTAAAAGACGGACTCAAGAAATGCGAAGAAACCCACCACACGAACTTCCACGTGGAATTTAATTCTCCATACTTCACAGCAAACATCCCAGAATTAACGTTAACTACTGGAGCAGGTAAACCTGTGCCAGTATCCGGGAGATCCGACAGCTCCGCGATCGATTCATCCGGTCCAAAACTTCCACTCAAAGCCAACCAAGCCCGACTTGGCTCGCCTCGATCGGTTCTTGCAGGTACCAATAGTGCCTTGATTGATTTCCAACCGAAAGGTGCCGGTCGATACGCCTGTAAACTGCTTCTACGGTCGAGAAACACAGTGTGTGGTAGTACTGACGTGCGAGTTTACGATCTTGTAGCCAAAGTAAGAGAACCAAACGTAAAAACTCAACTGGAATTTGTAGCTCCAGCTCGACACAGTATCGTCCAGGAGATCCCTCTCTCGAATCCAACAGATACAACGTGGTCACTTAAGGCCATTTTCAGTAGTGGGAAGACTGATACGTCGACTACTAAACCTCCTGTATCAATGTTCTCCGGTCCACCAACACTTATGGTTCCTGCCAAGAGATCAGCGACTTATCCACTTACATTCACTCCGACGTGGATGTATCACGAGACCAGGACGTTTGTACTCTTAAATACATCGACACAGCAGCAGTTTGAGTTTGAACTTAGCGGTTACGGTGAAGAACCTTTAGCTCAAGACCACGTGGTGTTAACCTGCCAAGCTCGCACCAGTATCGTACACAACTTCAACGTATTCGCTCTTCCCGGGGGTGACGCGAATGCTGCTCAAATGTTTAAAGTGGAATCGGATCTACGAGACGTTGTTGGTGCTCCTACCATCGCTGTACCTGCTGGTGGCTTAAACCGTAGTGTCAAATATCCGCTGACCTTCAGTCCGTTAGTCAGTGGTTCGTACTTTGGCTCTGTCACCTTTACCAATGAAGCTACCAGTGAATATATCTGGTACACAGTGGAAGCCTCTGTTAGTCCCCCAGAACCAGAGACAACACTGGAGATGCGAGCTCCAGTACGCGGGGCAGTCGGTATCGAGATCGGATTGGCTAACCCTTTAGACAGCGAAACCACCTTCACTGTCGAGCTCCGTGGTCGTGGGTTACTTGGCCCTACTACCTTTACGCTTGAAGCACGACAATCCGGAGTCTACGAGCTGGTCTACTCTCCTCTATTGGTGATGAAGGACGCTGGAGAGGAAGGTGCTATTCTCTTTTCTAGTGACACTGTCGGACAGTTCTGGTACCGTTTAATCCTCGTAGCGGAGTCCGCTGATCCTCA